GCACAGAAAGCATGCTGTCAGTAGCGGATTCAGTTCTCTTTTGTGGCTCATTGCGCTTTTAATATTTATTTTTTATTATCAAGCACATCCTGCTCCTTACTTTCTCATTCATGCATGTTTCTTTATTAATAACTTCCAACAGTCACTGAAAGGATATGTTTTAGTCTAGTCACTTTTTTATACACAAATTTTCGCTGCTGTTCTAAAAATCGTTCTTTTCGCCATTACCACCAACAAGATATATAGCTGCTTGAATCAGAGTGCAGGAGCTTTCGGTTACCATAGAAACGCAAGTGGTTTGCAGTTGATTGCTGTCGTGACGCTTAATATATAGGCTATTATATTTATTATTATTATTATAAACATTTCATTAACTTCAGTATACTGCTGTAGAACAAAGTAATTATAATTGTCTGCTTTTTCTGCAGAAAGCTGATCTCTAGTAGAAATGTGTCTAATTTTTCATCGATTAAGGGTGCGAGACCTGGCGAGTCACATGATTTTTGTCAAAAAGCCAGGTGTGGCTTGGAGGCAAACATACTGAGACATTCCTAAAAATATCTTCTTTTATGTTCCATAGAAGAATAAAAAAGACAGCCACAAAGGTTTGGAACAACGACATGAGTGAGTAAATGATGAAACTGAAAGAGTTTTAATTTTTGGGTTAACTAACCCGTTAATGATGATACAATTAAGTACATAACTTTATAATTCTTAAATTCACTAGTAGCATTAAAAAAAAAAGGTTTTAATAGGTAGTAAATTTGCTTTTTAGTTTTTTTTACTTTTCATTTCTTTTGGGCAGAAAAAAATTTTTTTTTTATATATACGTCCTCATTATGATGGGACAGCATTATAATGAAAGGCTACAAAGTATATACTGTAACAACAACTTTACTTAAGCATAAATACAAAGAAAGAAATGACTACAATTATCACTGAAGTTGAAAACAAGATAGCCTGAAGTTGAAAGCAAAAAAAAAAAAAAAAAATAGCAGACAAGATCAACACTAATGAGGGATATTTTTTAAACAGCTCTCTCTGCCAGTTAATGTACCTTGTGTTAATTTGCTATATTTCTGTAATGGCACGCCCTTTCTTGTGTCAAACACACCAAGTGTTACAGTCTTAATTGGACTTATTTTGAGCAAGTGACTGAGGCCCTTCTTCCTGAACTCAGTGCTGCTTCACTGATTCAAAATGTCTATAAGTCTGAAAGATATATGAAGAGGAAAAAAACATTCAAACAAACACAATAAAATCAGCAAGAAGTCGATAAGGTCATATTACAGCCTCTCCGCAATCAAACACATTTGTTTGTGTTTCCTTTTTGGTAATTCTGTGAAAATGAATAACACAAGTAATTGACCAGAATTATTATATATTATAATAAGATTCACACCCACTTAAACCTTGACACGACATCCCGCTGCCCCAGTCAAAGGGCAACAGCAGGGGCCTCTTGTCTCCCCACAAACCCCCAGCAAGTGCCAAACAAGCTCGCCACAACCCAGTCAATTACTTTCCCTGTGACTTCTCACATAATAATAGGATCATATGCATCTGGTGCATGTCATCAGGCAAATTAGAACAAATCAACGTTGTTTCGGCGAAGGAGGCAGCGCTATATTTGTATTGGAAACATCTTTGCGCTTGCAGGTTCAGCCTTGATACAGAAATGAAAGTGGAATATTAAAGCTCTTAGGGTCTGGTTGAAGAGCCTTGCAGCAGTGCATACAAAACAAGGCGATCGGTTATTGCTTTACAGTTCCAGCGGACTCTCGGGCCAGGACTTAAGTCAGCACAAGCACAGTAGGGCAAGGTATAGAGATGGGTGTAGAGAAAAAGGTGAAAAGGAAAGATACAGAGAGGAAGGGAAGCAGGCTGAGTGGCTAGCCATGAAATGCTGAAACAACAGCATGTCTGCCAGGGCAATTTTACAGCTCAGTGGTTTCACACCTCAGCCGTCGCCCTTCCAACACTGAACATCCAAGTCCATTCTGCATCTTCATTTATTTGGTGTCAGCGTCCGAGGACGCGCAAGGCTCGGCATGGAATCGGAAGCCTGTCCCAAATGTCTTCTGATAAGTGGTGTGTGAAGCCGACAAGAGAGGGAAAAGGCATTATACAGCTTTCCAAAACCATGCTACGGGTGACTCTATCCTACATTCAGCAAATCATTATTAATGAGCTCTGAACACAAAATACACACCCAGATCAGCCTCGGCACATTTGCTTCAAACTTGATTTAAGTAAAGCTGTCCATCTTCGCTTAGTTCTTGCAAGACAGATAAATGCATTCAGTCTAGGCCTAAATCTAAACATCCAGCAGAAATAACAAACGAGGGCACTGATCTATGGTGTCCCTCAGCGTGGAGGCCGATCTTTAAAATTTGACTTAAGCACTACGATTTTTGGACACATCGTGAATTCTAATAAACAATCCACTGTGCAAAAATAGCTTGCTACATTGCTTCCCCCCTAAACTTTGACTTTGTCAAGGTCAAAGCTGTGATCTAATGGTTTATTAACAGGCACTGTTGCTGCTGCACCATCGACAGGGAAGTAAAAACCTAATTGTGACATAAGTGTTTGAAATATGGCAGTATGATTGGGGTACTTAAAAGACTAAGAATAAGGTTGATGTGCCCCTGGCTTCAAAAAGGTGACATATTCTCTCCATCTTCTGTACCCACACTATTAAATATACATGCTCAATTCATTGCAATGTCCTCCTCAATGTCCTTGAGCAGTGTTGGAGGTTAACATGTTACAAGTAACAGACATTTAGTAATCCATGATGGAGACCAGGGATGTCAATTTACACAAATTCCCATTATCGATCGTCCTTTAAAATTAATGATCAATTGATCGATTAATCGTTAGTTAGCCTTAATACTGCAATATGCGTCGCATGACAGGGTCTGCAAATGCTGCTCAAAACGCTGTCCCTCACCAAATTAATGCGAAGGGTTTTTAGTCTAAATAAAGGGCTATAGTAAAATTGTAAAATGAGTCAATGTGATTGATCATTTAATTAAATTACTTATTTCATAGTTCATAGTTATTATTAGTCGTGCATTGCTGTTTGAGCTGCCCGAACTGAAGCTGGCCACCTATATAGAGCTTAGGTGAGCTTTATAGAGTGTTAAATCTTAACCAAATGCATCCTATGAGATGAATCGGATATAGGCCTACACAAAATAAACACCAAATTACAACTTAGATTTGCACAAAACAACAAGGCTGCAAATGCACAAGCACACTTTTAAAGTAAAATGGTCCCAAAAATAACTCTGGCGCGCTCGCTTCATTTTTCCCCGTGTCCACGAGGCTGTATGGTGTCCCATTTGTCATTTTATGTTTCAGAAGTGTGCTCGCGAATGCCCCCTTTGTGGTCAGTATGAGCCCTTGATGTGCACTTTTGCCGAGCCCGTAAGCTCGAAGCTTACATCACGAAAGTGCAGACTCGCAGGTAGACCACGGGTGTTTAGGGTGCCATTTGGGACAAGGCCTTAAATAAGCAGCAAAATCCAAAACTTTTTCACATGATCTTGTGTTTCTAGTCTCCTGCATTTGCATGAATTTGAATGCAAGTAAATGGAATGAAAAGTGTAGTGTGACCACCCCTTTGACATCTGACAGGACAGGAAAGTTCATTTTTCTCAGATAAGAGTTTTTATTTTGCACTAAACATGAAGACACCTCTGCCAATATTAAAGTGTCTAATTAAAACATCTAGATGGAGGAGAGTGCACGACACATGCACGCACACACACACACACACACACACATACACACACACACACACACACACACACACACACACACACACATACTGGTTTCCATGTTGGATGGGGACCAACTTTATGACCATCACCTGTGGGGACCACCCTTTCTAAAGGTTCTAGAGGTATAAAAAAAATTAGGGATACTTACCATAGCTTTGATAACTTATACACGCCTTCAAATATCTGAATTGATGAAGTAATGATTTGACCATGCGCAATGGGGACCTTTGAAACATCCAGTGGACATGTCTTATAGGGACCTACTTTGCATAATATTTGCATAATTCACACAACCTCCCATTTGATTTGTGGGGACCTAATTTGCATAATTCACACAACCTCCCAATTGATTTAAGGGGACCTAATTTGCATAATTCACACAACCTCTTATTTGATTTGTGGGGACCTAGATAGAACAATAAGTATATCACTATTCGACAAATAATAGGCATTTATATAAAGTAAATCCTCAGATTGCATTTTTCCATTTGCCCTTAAAAATGGGTTGAATCTACAACCAAGCAGAATTAAAATATACAGTAGTACAAAACAACTTCGATTAGTTAATGTGGAGAGATAGTGAGGACTGCAAATGGTGCCAGTGATGCAAAGCTTCACTCTTGCATAGAATACCTATGGCTGGTTTCACAGACCTGGCTTAAGATAGTCTCAGACTAAAGTCCGTGTTTAAGCCTACGTTTGATTGGAATAGTAGTGTGATTGAAGTGGATTGTGTGTGAATGGAGAACTGCAACAAAGGATTGCATGCAAGTAGTGAATTTTTTTCTGGATATTTTCCAACCCATTTCATAACCACAAGTCAAACATTCAAACCATTCCACTTCAAAATATTCTTTCTATAATTGTAATTTTTCAGTCACCCTCCCAGCATCAGCTGCTACTCATTCACCTGATACTTATTTAAAAAATCTACTACTAATTGAGCTTCAATACATTAATTTACATTACAATGGCTGAATTCAACTTTTATTGAGTTCAACTTCACAAAATAACTCAAATGAAGTCATACCTCAAAACAAAGTCCTGATATTAAAAGTATAATATATATAACTTTCACACATGCTTCCTTTCACATACATGTGAATTTAAACAAACTACAACTTTAAAATAACTTTATTGTTCGACCAATGCTTTCCGACTGGTGGTCATCACAGTCATCATAAAACATATGGCAAACAATTTCAAATAAAGTTATTCTATAGCCTACACGTGTTTCTGTAGTTTTAAAGGGTTAGTAAACCCAAAAACATCTTTAACCTTTTAACATCTTTGAACAAAACCTGCCACGACAGAGTTGGATCTTCACATTATTATTATTTGCACTGGAATTTCTTTTTGTAAGCTGTAATACGATTATAAATGTAAAATTTTACAGTCTTCCAATCGCGGTTCTTAAGCGCTCCTGGTTCAGCTTTCAAACATTTTTCACAGTCACTCTTTGCTGGTACAGTGAGCGATGTGATGAATCGCTGCATGTGCCTTTCCACCGCCTGCACCTCTGTCTGCTGCCAGGGTGTCTTCTGGGTACTTTTACCTAAAAGTGGACAGAAAAAACTATTGAAATGAGAAAGTGTGTGTACTGGAATTCCAATCCAAAGTTCTAAATCCTATTATCAGTATTTATTAGGTCTGCCCTCTAATAGTTAACCACGATTTTATTAGTCGGTTAGTCGCAGGGAAAAAAAACCCCGCAGGAAATCACGCAGGCTGTGTCGGACAGATCAATAACGGCAGTCGGCAGGAAATCCAAACATTTGCCTATCAGTCATTGACCTTAAATATGGCTTATCTCTTGAAACATGCGAGTAGTATCAACCTTACAAGTCGCTCACTCTAATGTTAACCTGATAAATGTGTTATTATTAGACTCATATCTGTGCGTGTGTGGAAAGACGCTTTACATAGAGGAGCCGGCGCGATCATTTTACTTAAAATACTCTTGTCCTTTTATTCATATAGATAAGAGTAATGCAAACTGTAAAGGGTCAAATTTCATTTTCTATTATTTCTGTAAACTCACAATAACTAAAAAATGTTTTGCTTTTGTAAAATAATGAAAACAATAAGGATGTGCTTTCTGCTGTCTCAGTAAACTTGAGCGTCACAGAAATGAGCCGAAACTCAGCGTGTACTCACCTCACACACGATAAATATATCTATAGAAAGCTTGAAATGTCTGCTTTTAAAGGAACCAATTCAAGCGTAAAATAATTATTCTCATTATGTAATCCATATGAAACGTGCATATATGCGCGTCACTGCGGAGATGAGTCAGCATCGTTGACTTAATTTATTGGTAATGTTTTCGGCTGCAGAGATTACAATGTTTAGTAATGATGGTTCAATGTTTGCCAGTGCGCTGTGGAGCTTTATGTGCGCGCTTGAGCGCTGATTAGGCTTTGTATTATATAGGCAATTAAAGGCTCATTATTATTAGTTAAGGCTTATTAGTATAAAAATGTGATTAGTAGTCATTCATTTTAAACTATTAGTCAACTAGAAAAATCTTTAGTCAGCATCTATATTGCAAAACAAATTATTTGCACTCTATCTATAAATAGAATTACACTGTCAATCAAACAGTGATTTTTGCATTGTCACTTGGCCTGAAATGATCATTGGGGAAAAGGTAAATATATTAAGATCAATGTCTTGGCTGGAAGTTATTTTTATGCATCCATCCACTCAAACTTCTCCAGGAGATACCCTACGTTCACACCGCCGCCGCTCTGCCAGCGACGCCATGGAAATATTCGTGGACGCTCTGATGTAGATGAATACTTGGTCTTTTTTAAAACTATATTTAAAGGGGCCGCAAAGCAAACAAGCATGTCAATAGTTATTTTTGCAGAAAATTGATCAATGGAAAGAACTTAATTATAGTGACATTCCATTGATCAATTTGCTAATGAAATAAACCAATTAAAAGCTATTTGTGTGGTGTGGCTTTTGTGTTCATGGTTAAGTGCTATTCTAATTTGCATTCCCGCTGAAAAACAAGTGTTCTAGCGCAAAATTTTTGCCTATAAATAGTGTTGCGTGCCTTCTTATCAAATTCAAATGATCAATCTCTCCTCTATTTTGCTTGGGAAATAATGTGGTTGGAACCAAAAAGTTACAGGACTGCGTTCTCTGGAATCCTCTCAAACGGAGCACTTCTACATTACGATTGGTTGCTGCCGAACCGCGTCATTGCTCATTACCATAAATTTGACCTGATTTCAACTTCTCCTCGCCGCTCTCACCGTCCAAGACTCGCCGCCCTCTCCGGAGCTCGCCAGATAGTTATTCCTGATATTTCAATTATTAGAACAGCTACAGTTCCTACTCGTGCCACAAAGCACCTAGTAGATTCTAGAATCAACCAAGTAACCCTCTAAACAACTACTGATGGGTTCCTGAGCATTATGATATTGAAATTCATGTATAGAGGAACAATTTAGTTGCAAAGTGTTCAAATCGCTAACATTTTGGTGGAAACGTCTCAAAAAGGGAAACAGCAAAAAACAAAATCAGCATTTAGTGATCTGGTCTAACATCTGGGTATCAAAGTGCTCCTAAATTGTCTAATTTAGTCTTAAGCCTTGTTTATACTCGACGCGTCCGCACGAGCGCGAGTCTCCGCTGACTGCGCGCGCACCTCTCCAAACGGACGAGGCGTTTATACTTGACGCGCTCGCCGTTGTGCTATTCTGTGAAACGACAGGGGGCGACTCGGAGTAATTCTCCTCTAAACCACCAGGAATCAGCAGTGAAGAAGTAGTTTGCCGTTTATTAGTAGTTTATTAATTTCTGATTCATATAAAAAGAGTAATAAATGCAGTAGGTTTATTGCACTTTCACTGCATGTAAACTAGTAAACAACTGAAGCCTTATTGAAGAGTGTTTAAACCTTAATTTCATCAGCAGGGCTTAATTCTGCTATTGTAGGCTTATTTTGTAAATGTAAGCAGTTACTTTATACAAGTGCAAACTGGGTGCTTAATGTAAATGTGTTCCTATTCACAAAATGAGAGGCTTTTATGGTCGCCCATCAATACAAATGTCTCTGTGTATAGAAGGATCATAAACATGGTGGTACAGACATACCAGTTCGGCCAGATTCGGCTCGAAGTCGTTCATCTTCGGATGCGGCGCCACGCGCGATGTTACAAAAAGTGCTGTGCACACCGCCAGCCGAAATGGGGTCTCGCGCACCCAACGCGCACGACCGCCCACACCGCAATGACGTCATTTTTGCCGCGCGCACTTCGCGCTCTTGCGGACGCGTCGAGTATAAACAAGGCTTTAGAAATGTGTAAAGAGTTCACCTTTGGAAGAAGGCCTCACAGCACTGGCTCCTGAAGGCATCTCTTCATCTGATGGTGGTCTGCGTCTCTTGGGTGGTGGCGGCATGTCATTCCTCTCGGTAGGAGGAAGTGCCACCTCTGAAGATGGTTCTATAGAAAATAATCAAAGTTCAACATTTTCAGAAAGATATACACTTTAAATGTACTATAGAATGCTGATAATTGTTGTGTTACAAATTTATTAAATGTTTAATTTAGGTTCCAATAGAATGGTATATAAACTGAGAAAGTTTAGTAGACTGAATTTTGCATTTGAGTTATAAATGATTATATCAGAGTTTTCCAGCAAGAGATTCCTGCCAGTCCTGTTTCTCTCTATTGTAGGTTAAATTAGTCCGATTACTGAGACTCACTCTTTGGCTCAATCCCAATACACCCCTTGGCCCTAACCCCTCCGTTTTGCGCGTTCACGTCTAGGGGTAGGGTGTCCCGATTCTTGTTGAGATCGAGGGGTAGGGCTAAGGGGTAGGGCTACATAGCCCTTGAAACGGAGATTTCTTAGAGGCACACTCCAAACGGAGGGCTACGAGATGGTTCACAGAATGCATCGCGAATCACCGCGAGATGGGTTCGCAAACGGTTAAACATTTAAATTTAGCCCCAGATGACACCACCATGCAATTTAATTACTCTTATAATAATAATAATAGAGTGATTTGAATTAAGAAATTGTATAATAAATTACCTTTCCGAAACAGAAAAGACATACATTGAGGAAGGAATGTTATAATGTTATAATGAATGTTATATCATCATGTTTCCTCAAAGTTAAGAGCAGCTGCGCTGATTGTCAGTCGTTGTCATGTAGAAATCCTGTAAAAACTCTGTAACGTCAGAGCCATCGCCGACGACTGATGATGTATCGGGTTCATGAAGGGTTGTTCCATTTCGCAGGGGAATATTTCAACCCCATGGCCCTTGTAACTCTGTTTTAAGGGCCAAGGGGTACACTCGAAAACAAGGGGTAGGGGCAAGGGGTGAATTAGGATTGAGCCTTTGTCTTTAAATGGCTCTAGGAGCCCGTTCCAGTCGTTAAATAGTCAGGCTGAGTGGATTATCACCTATGCATCTGAATCACACTGCTATGCTGATGAGATCAGGGCTGGGGAATTTCCGTTAACGAGCAGACTTCCATACTTCATTTACATGCTTTGTTTTAGAGTGTCTCCACCTCTTGTAAATCCCTCCCCCTTGAAAAGGCATATAGACTACAAGGTACACTGGCTTAATTAGACTAGACTGGGATGACTACAGCGATGCACAGCGAGTTCTCAAAGAATCCTGCTTGAAAGATGTCCCAATGTCTCCTGGTCTCTGCTTCGACAATACACTGTGTTATTACACTTATGCACTAATTATTTAAAATCATTAAAGTACAATAAACCCTAAACCTGTGCAATTCTTCATTATTGCAAGTATAATTGAACTGCATCTTTACAGCAGACTAGTGTTGCACGATATACCGATACTAGAAAGGTATCGCGATACCCAGCTATTAAAATCGGAACGATATGAAATTTTATTAGTACCGGTACTTTAAGAGTGACATCACTCTAAACAATAAGAGCAGTATTTCTTTATTTTGCGTCGATGTGTGACAGTCGGAGTCAGGACGTGTGTGCAGAGCTCTGCTTCCACTGTTTACATTCACTAAACAACGAAAGCAGAACAGTAAAATACACTCACCGGCCACTTTATTAGGTACACCTGTCCAACTGCTCGTTAACACTTAATTTCTAAGCAGCCAATCACATGGCGGCAACTCAGTGCATTTAGGCATGTAGACATGGTCAAGACAATCTCCTGCAGTTCAAACCGAGCATCAGTATGGGGAAGAAAGGTGATTTGAGTGACTTTGAACGTGGCATGATTGATGGTGCCAGAAGGGCTGGTCTGAGTATTTCAGAAACTGCTAATCTACTGGGATTTTCACGCACAACCATCTCTAGGGTTTACAGAGAATGGTCCAAAAAATAAAAAACATCCAGTGAGCGGCAGTTCTGTGGGCGGAAATGCCTTGTTGATGCCAGAGGTCAGAGGAGAATGGCCAGACTGGTTCGAGCTGATAGAAGGGCAACAGTGACTGAAATAACCACTCGTTACAACCGAGGTATGCAGCAAAGCATTTGTGAAGCCACAACACGCACAACCTTGAGGCGGATGGGCTACAACAGCAGAATACTCCACCGGGTACCACTCATCTCCACTACAAATAGGAAAAAGAGGCTACAATTTGCAAGAGGTCACCAAAATTGAACAGTTGAAGACTGGAAAAATGTTGCCTGGTCTGATGAGTCTCGATTTCTGTTGAGACATTCAGATGTTAGAGTCAGAATTTGGCGTAAACAGAATGAGAACATGGAACCATCATGCCTTGTTACCACTGTGCAGGCTGGTGGTGTTGGTGTAATGATGTGGGGGATGTTTTCCTGGCACACTTTAGGCCCCTTAGTGCCAATTGGGCATCGTTTAAATGCCACGGCCTACCTGAGCATTGTTTCTGACCATGTCCATCCCTTTATGGCCACCATGTACCCATCCTCTGATGGCTACTTCCACCATGTCACAAAGCTCTAATCATTTCAAATTGGTTTCTTGAACATGACAATGAGTTCACTGTACTAAAATGGCCTCCACAGTCACCAGATCTCAACCCAATAGAGCATCTTTGGGATGTGGTGGAACGGGAGATTCGCATCATGGATGTGCAGCCGACAAATCTGCGGCAACTGTGTGATGCCATCATGTCAATATGGACCAAACTCCCTGAGGAATGCTTCCAGCACCTTGTTGAATCTATGCCACGAAGAATTGAGGCAGTTCTGAAGGCAAAAGGGGGTCCAACCCGTTACTAGCATGGGGTACCTAATAAAGTGGCCGGTGAGTGTATATACGCACAGTGAAACATGCATGATGAGAAAAAGCGCGGGACATGCTCGCGCTGCCGAGCTCAGACCTGAAGAGCGCACACACGCCTTTCACACAGCATGCGATCGCCACTTCAGTTCTCTTTCGTGGATTATTTGGATTGAATAATCAAAATTCTAGGTAAAAATGTACATCCTGATGAGTATTCACGTAAACACAGTCGGGTATGTCTTTAGTGAATGTAAACCATTTGTAAAAATAAATCATATGTGTTCCATTGGGTAGCCTACGTGCAGGTCTTAAAGGGCCGGACCAGCAGCCTAATATTCTGTGTAATTAATGTTGATGAAACAACAGAAAATAGAGAATCACCCAATGCTTGACTGAATAAATGTATCTATTTATTAAGAATCAGTCTATAGTTAATTTATAGAGTGAAGACTTTATTTTTTTCAGCTACAGTACTAGGTTTATTTAACAGTAGCATTCAAAAAAGAAATGAAGCACTGTTTATTTTATTTGTCTCTATTGTTTGTAATTTGCTTTTTTGCTTATTTTAAATAACAAAAATAGAATTAAATATCTGTATTGTCATTATAAAATTACATTTAAAATATATTAAATAACTCATTTCATGAAATATTTTGGTCATCCCAACCTGTTCAGAATTGTGAAAGGTTAGCAAATGTTAAAGGGATACTCCACTTTTTTTGGAAATAGGCTCATTTTACAACTCCCCCAGAGTTAAACTGTTCAGTTTTACCGTTTTTGAATCCATTCAGCCGATCTCCGGTTCTGGCGGTACCACTTTTAGCATAGCTTAGCATACATCATTGGAGTGGACAAGACCATTAGCATTTCTAAAAAAAAAAATGACCCAAAGAGTTTCGATATTTTCTAGGCTGATATGGCTTGGAACTATACTCTCATTCCTGCGTAATAATCAAGAAACTTTACTGCCGTACCATGAGTGCAGCAGGCGTAATGATATGACACAGCGCCTGAAAATAGGCTACCTTCCGTCAACACAACGGAACTATTTTCAGGCACTGCGTTATATCATTACGCCTGCTGCTCTCGTGGTACGGCAGTGACGTTTCTTGATTATTACGCAGGAATGAGAGTATAGTTCCTAGCCATATCAGCCTAGAAAATCACAACTTTACATTTTCCGTCGGTCTTAGTCCACGATGTAACTACAGAAGAGTCAAGTTTTAAATAGGAAAAATATCGAAACTCTTTGGTCATTTTTTTTTTTAGAAATGCTAATGGTCTTGTCCACTTCAATGATGTATGCTAAGCTATGCTAAAAGTGGTACCGCCAGAACCGGAGATCGGCTGAATGGATTCAAAAACGGTAAAACTCAACAGTTTAACTCTGGGGGAGTTGTAAAATGAGCCTATTTCCAAAAAAAAGTGGAGTATCCCTTTAACATGATTGATAATAATGCCAATGTTGCAAACATCTTTGTAAGGACGTACACACGGGCACTTGCTAATTATTATTATTATTATTATTATATTTAATAAAGGGAAGGTAATGGTAAAAAAAGCATTGAAGGAACACATTTTAAATCTTAAACTTTATAAAACAATGAATTGTAAGTTCTGTCATATTTTTCGATCGATATCGAGGTATTTTAGTCTGGTATCGTATCGAAGTCATAATTTTGGTATCGTGACAACACTACAGCAGACATTTAATCAAACAATAAGCTCAAGCTAACTAAGACATGAAATAAAATGGTTAAATACTCAATCTGACATGGTTCGTTTAGTGCCATGACACAACCAACACGAGAAGAGAGCGGATCAGCTAGCATTTTACGACAAATTTGCACCTTTCTCTTATGAAAAATTATTTTTATGGTAGTAAACTCCACAAAAAATATTCACTCCAGAATAAATGTTTAGTGTAAGACATTTTGAAGAATAGCTTGGAGGCATTTGATTCAGTACACAATGAGCAGTTTCGTAAAAAACGTTTGTTCAGCATACTGAAGAATCTTTTTTAAATGTTGGCTATGATGTTTCTTCACAAGTTAAGTGACTGAAAACTATGAATAACTGCAAAATCTAGTAGTGTATTTTGAAAGTAATACAAACCGTCAACAGTAGATGAACAGTGTCCCTCTTGTATGCTCCCGTCTTCCTCATCACAGTCAATAACTTTTTCTGTGGAAGTTCAAAGTACAGCTTAGCAATGGTAAACCACATGGTATATGAATAGATGGTAAACAGAAAAATCAAACAAAAGTCAAATAAAATACCACACCATCAGGAGCTATCCCAATTTCATCCAAGTTCTTGCCATGGAACTCAGCTAATCTTCCTTGCTCAAGAGCCATTAGAACTTTGCTGATCTTGGCAAGTTGCAGGGTCTTCTCAGGGAGACGATAGAACTCACGATGGATTCTTATGTCGTGTCCAAGAAAGTTTGCCAGCTGGTCCATCTCTGTGTCAGTCATATTCAGCACGGTTGAAAGTGTTGCGGCATGCTTTCGCAGTCTTGTAGATGTCAGTGACTTGGGACACTTTGCGCCACACACCTTAGCAAAGCCACGGAGGCAGTCTGACCCTCGAAAATGTGTCATGGCTTCTGGTCTTGCAAACATATAGGGATTGTCTTTCAGAACCCCACAAGCCTCTCTCTGCTTAACAAGGATTTCTAAGGCAGATAGCATTTTTGGAGTCAGAAGAATTGGAACTGGTCGACCACGCTTTCCCCTTGTGATAACCCTTGTGAAGTGTCTGCAGAGTTTTTTTTCCACTTCAGAGAGTGCCCAGTCCACATCTTCATGTGGATCAGAAGTGTCTCTTGATAGAAATGCAGACAAAGGCATGCTCGAAACCTCTCCTTCCCTGCGGCGGTTAAAGAGAATCATCTGGGCTAGACACACCTTTGCCAGATCCATCCAGGCTTTAGTAGAGGGACTTTCAGAGAGTGTTTTGAACCACTTGTCTTGCACTTCACTGAGATAAGTATGCATTTTCTGGACGTCTTCGGTAAAGGGCATGATAGTGGGCACATTCCACTTTGCTTCACTGATGTTCCTCAATGCTGTAGCCGAGATCATCTCGTTCCACTTGCTCTCATGGACTTCTAGAAACTCACTGGCGTTCTTTACAAGCTGTTTGTCATTTGAGATTAATCCCTGAGCTTTTAAGAGTTTGCTCACTTTAACCAGGGAATTCCCAAGCTTGTTTGCAAGCGATGGAATCATGAACTTGTCCGTTTCACTGTCATACCCACACGTATACTTCACAGCTTTGACAGTCTCCATGTACTTCTTTGGATTTACACAATCTTCCATCGTTTTTAACGAGGTGACTCTCCTCGCCTTGTGAATCAACCTTCCCAATTCTCGCATCTTCTCCCGCACATACTGTTTATTTTTGGCTGATAGCCCTCCTTTGTTCAACAAGTGCTGCCCAATTTCAGTAATTACTCTGTCATTTTTTATTATATCTGTGATTGGGTCAGGAGTCATGGCACTGATTACTCCCCACAGTTGTTTGGTCATGTTTGAAGGCACAGGACCTGTGTATGTACACATGGACTGAACACGGTTTTTTCCTGGTTTGGGGGGGACTGACTGAGGTTTAAGTCTACAAGAACGCATATGACGCCACAGGACCTTTCTTGTAAAAAGTCCTTGACAGTACGCACAATGCATAAAATCATCTCCCTGCGCTTTTTTAGGTGGTCGTTTAAATGGCACCAGTTCCCCCTTTCCTGATTCCATAACAGCAGCATTGTGGGCATAGTTCCCTTTGTTGCGAATATAATCCAGCTGTTTTTTTCTCTCTTTTGAACCTTTTGGAAAGCTTAGAGCTCTAGCCACATCAGATGTATTTGCATGTGAACTTTCTAGATGCCTTGCCATCTTAGCGTAAGGTTTGGAGCAATACAAGCAGTAATGTCTCTTGTTATACACTCTACCGCCATCTCTTTTTTGGTATGCATTAACAAATACGCAGTCTGAACTGGGCTCTTCTACTGTTTCAGATGTTTTAGATGTAAGGCTGTGCATTTTGTCTGACGTTGTTGTGTCACAGTCAGGGGAGCTTACAGAGGCAGATTCATTCATATCCAGTTCATCAAGAAGCTGATGCTTTGTTGGGTTCAGTGTAAGGCTAACATCACTGTCACTGTCACTGTTGGAAGTGGTATCTGGGACATAATTATCTGAACTCTCTGGTGTAGAATCAAAGAGCTCACCAGAATCTTGAAGATCCATGTCTTTCATCTTAAATGAAAAAAAATATATATTAAAAAGTTAATTAGAAATAGGTAGAACTGCTGCATTTAATTAATTGATCATTAACAGACATAAATTGGCAACTATTGTGATAATCAATGTACTGTTCAAGTATTGTTTTGTTTTAAATTTACAAGTTACATGTGATGATTTGCTGCTTCTTACTGTTTGTTATACTAAAGTTCTTAAGTGTAATAAAACGTTTTGGGCAGTTGATCTGACAAAAATAAGGACATCTGATGGGTTTTGGGTTTAATGTAAAGGGGATGCAAATTTTTGATTCTCTGATATTTTGTAGTCAAAATGATTTATCACATAAGAATATATTAATTACATAAATTAATTGATATTGCCTTCATATCCAAACACCTTAATCATATGTAAAGAGTGAGCAGAGCGAGCTTCCATAGGAATGAACTCAAATTATGAATGCCCGTGCAGTCGTGCACATTTAACTTTCGCTTTTAAATTATCGAGGATTTTAAAATTTAAAAGAGAGAAAAACTCCAACGTGTGCATGTAAACATAGCCATTGAATCTCTTGTTGCGACTTGAGAACTTACCATGATACTTTTAGTCCGTCTCAGTCTTGGTACAAAAATGTCATTTTCATTTCGGAGCTGTATCACAATCTGTAAAAAGAAAAGAGTATATAAACAACATTTTACATTATTACAGTATTTGAAATGTAAAAATAAAAAGCGCAAGAAAAAAAATAAAATTACTGTCCAGCAAACCTTGCTCGCACACATCTGGATTAAAACCAGCTTCATGGGGACCTTTCACACACAACGTTATAGTTCCTTATGGGGACCAGTTTCATCAAATTCAAAACACAGGTTTGAGCTCAAACACTGACTGAAAGTGTGTTGTGGGGACGTCGTGAGTGTCCATTTTAATGCAACAATTAACGCAGAAAAAAATCCTCTTGAAGGATAAAACTGGCCCTAAATACTCCACTGCCACTAATCTACTGGACACATGTCCTGAAACGGTTTAATGTACTAATTTACAGCAGATACGCATCAAAATATGCTTACAAATCACTACACCATGACAAAAACCTAAATCTTTAGTGATGAATGTGAACGTACCTGTTGAGGAGAGTTGATTTGAGCAGATTCATCATCCATCTGAGTCTCTGACTGGAGAGAAGGATCAGAGTTACTCGCTGTGCTGGTATTAACAGGAGCGCTGGTCATCTGTAAGAGACAACATTCAAAATGACAAGATGTTAGATCATGGAAACACAAGAGAGAAATCTGAAGCAGATACCACATGGTTTGAGAATGAGAGACAAATCAACTACATCTAAAACATGCATTCCTGTCCAGTCCAACTCTGTGTGCGCTCACACACATCTGGATTAAAACCGGCTTCATGGGGACCTTTCACACACAACGTTATAGTTCCTTATGGGGACCAGTTTCATCAAATTCAAAACACAGGTTTGAGCTCAAACACTGACTGAAAGTGTGTTGTGGGGACGTCGTGAGTGTCCATTTTAATGCAACAATTAACGCAGAAAAAAATCCTCTTGAAGGATAAAACTGGCCCTAAATACTCCACTGCCACTAATCTACTGGACACATGTCCTAAAACGGTTTAATGTACTAATTTACAGCAGATACGCATCAAAATATGCTTACAAATCACTACACCATGACAAAAACCTAAATCTTTAGTGATGAATGTGAACGTACCTGTTGAGGAGAGTTGATTTGAGCAGATTCATCATCCATCTGAGTCTCTGACTGGAGAGAAGGATCAGAGTTACTCGCTGTGCTGGTATTAACAGGAGCGCTGGTCATCTGTAAGAGACAACATTCAAAATGACAAGATGTTAGATCATGGAAACACAAGAGAGAAATCTGAAGCAGATACCACATGGTTTGAGAATGAGAGACAAATCAACTACATCTAAAACATGCATTCCTGTCCAGTCCAACTCTGTGTGCGCTCACACACATCTGGATTAAAACCGGCTTCATGGGGACCTTTCACACACAACGTTATAGTTCCTTATGGGGACCAGTTTCATCAAATTCAAAACACAGGTTTGAGCTCAAACACTGACTGAAAGTGTGTTGTGGGGACGTCGTGAGTGTCCATTTTAATGCAACAATTAACGCAGAAAAAAATCCTCTTGAAGGATAAAACTGGCCCTAAATACTCCACTGCCACTAATCTACTGGACACATGTCCTAAAACGGTTTAATGTACTAATTTACAGCAGATACGCATCAAAATATGCTTACAAATCACTACACCATGACAAAAACCTAAATCTTTAGTGATGAATGTGAACGTACCTGTTGAGGAGAGTTGATTTGAGCAGATTCATCATCCATCTGAGTCTCTGACTGGAGAGAAGGATCAGAGTTACTCGCTGTGCTGGTATTAACAGGAGCGCTGGTCATCTGTAAGAGACAACATTCAAAATGACAAGATGTTAGATCATGGAAACACAAGAGAGAAATCTGAAGCAGATACCACATGGTTTGAGAATGAGAGACAAATCAACTACATCTAAAACATGCATTCCTGTCCAGTCCAACTCTGTGTGCGCTCACACACATCTGGATTAAAACCGGCTTCATGGGGACCTTTCACACACAACGTTATAGTTCCTTATGGGGACCAGTTTCATCAAATTCAAAACACAGGTTTGAGCTCAAACACTGACTGAAAGTGTGTTGTGGGGACGTCGTGAGTGTCCATTTTAATGCAACAATTAACGCAGAAAAAAATCCTCTTGAAGGATAAAACTGGCCCTAAATACTCCACTGCCACTAATCTACTGGACACATGTCCTAAAACGGTTTAATGTACTAATTTACAGCAGATACGCATCAAAATATGCTTACAAATCACTACACCATGACAAAAACCTAAATCTTTAGTGATGAATGTGAACGTACCTGTTGAGGAGAGTTGATTTGAGCAGATTCATCATCCATCTGAGTCTCTGACTGGAGAGAAGGATCAGAGTTACTCGCTGTGCTGGTATTAACAGGAGCGCTGGTCATCTGTAAGAGACAACATTCAAAATGACAAGATGTTAGATCATGGAAACACAAGAGAGAAATCTGAAGCAGATACCACATGGTTTGAGAATGAGAGACAAATCAACTACATCTAAAACATGCATTCCTGTCCAGTCCAACTCTGTGTGCGCTCACACACATCTGGATTAAAACCGGCTTCATGGGGACCTTTCACACACAACGTTATAGTTCCTTATGGGGACCAGTTTCATCAAATTCAAAACACAGGTTTGAGCTCAAACACTGACTGAAAGTGTGTTGTGGGGACGTCGTGAGTGTCCATTTTATTGCAACAATTAACGCAGAAAAAAAATCCTCTTGAAGGATAAAACTGGCCCTAAATACTCCACTGCCACTAATCTACTGGACACATGTCCTAAAACGGTTTAATGTACTAATTTACAGCAGATACGCATCAAAATATGCTTACAAATCACTACACCATGACAAAAACCTAAATCTTTAGTGATGAATGTGAACGTACCTGTTGAGGAGAGTTGATTTGAGCAGATTCATCATCCATCTGAGTCTCTGACTGGAGAGAAGGATCAGAGTTACTCGCTGTGCTGGTATTAACAGGAGCGCTGGTCATCTGTAAGAGACAACATTCAAAATGACAAGATGTTAGATCATGGAAACACAAGAGAGAAATCTGAAGCAGATACCACATGGTTTGAGAATGAGAGACAAATCAACTACATCTAAAACATGCATTCCTGTCCAGTCCAACTCTGTGTGCGCTCACACACATCTGGATTAAAACCGGCTTCATGGGGACCTTTCACACACAACGTTATAGTTCCTTATGGGGACCAGTTTCATCAAATTCAAAACACAGGTTTGAGCTCAAACACTGACTGAAAGTGTGTTGTGGGGACGTCGTGAGTGTCCATTTTAATGCAACAATTAACGCAGAAAAAAATCCTCTTGAAGGATAAAACTGGCCCTAAATACTCCACTGCCACTAATCTACTGGACACATGTCCTAAAACGGTTTAATGTACTAATTTACAGCAGATACGCATCAAAATATGCTTACAAATCACTACACCATGACAAAAACCTAAATCTTTAGTGATGAATGTGAACGTACCTGTTGAGGAGAGTTGATTTGAGCAGATTCATCATCCATCTGAGTCTCTGACTGGAGAGAAGGATCAGAGTTACTCGCTGTGCTGGTATTAACAGGAGCGCTGGTCATCTGTAAGAGACAACATTCAAAATGACAAGATGTTAGATCATGGAAACACAAGAGAGAAATCTGAAGCAGATACCACATGGTTTGAGAATGAGAGACAAATCAACTACATCTAAAACATGCATTCCTGTCCAGTCCAACTCTGTGTGCGCTCACACACATCTGGATTAAAACCGGCTTCATGGGGACCTTTCACACACAACGTTATAGTTCCTTATGGGGACCAGTTTCATCAAATTCAAAACACAGGTTTGAGCTCAAACACTGACTGAAAGTGTGTTGTGGGGACGTCGTGAGTGTCCATTTTAATGCAACAATTAACGCAGAAAAAAATCCTCTTGAAGGATAAAACTGGCCCTAAATACTCCACTGCCACTAATCTACTGGACACATGTCCTAAAACGGTTTAATGTACTAATTTACAGCAGATACGCATCAAAATATGCTTACAAATCACTACACCATGACAAAAACCTAAATCTTTAGTGATGAATGTGAACGTACCTGTTGAGGAGAGTTGATTTGAGCAGATTCATCATCCATCTGAGTCTCTGACTGGAGAGAAGGATCAGAGTTACTCGCTGTGCTGGTATTAACAGGAGCGCTGGTCATCTGTAAGAGACAACATTCAAAATGACAAGATGTTAGATCATGGAAACACAAGAGAGAAATCTGAAGCAGATACCACATGGTTTGAGAATGAGAGACAAATCAACTACATCTAAAACATGCATTCCTGTCCAGTCCAACTCTGTGTGCGCTCACACACATCTGGATTAAAACCGGCTTCATGGGGACCTTTCACACACAACGTTATAGTTCCTTATGGGGACCAGTTTCATCAAATTCAAAACACAGGTTTGAGCTCAAACACTGACTGAAAGTGTGTTGTGGGGACGTCGTGAGTGTCCATTTTAATGCAACAATTAACGCAGAAAAAAATCCTCTTGAAGGATAAAACTGGCCCTAAATACTCCACTGCCACTAATCTACTGGACACATGTCCTAAAACGGTTTAATGTACTAATTTACAGCAGATACGCATCAAAATATGCTTACAAATCACTACACCATGACAAAAACCTAAATCTTTAGTGATGAATGTGAACGTACCTGTTGAGGAGAGTTGATTTGAGCAGATTCATCATCCATCTGAGTCTCTGACTGGAGAGAAGGATCAGAGTTACTCGCTGTGCTGGTATTAACAGGAGCGCTGGTCATCTGTAAGAGACAACATTCAAAATGACAAGATGTTAGATCATGGAAACACAAGAGAGAAATCTGAAGCAGATACCACATGGTTTGAGAATGAGAGACAAATCAACTACATCTAAAACATGCATTCCTGTCCAGTCCAACTCTGTGTGCGCTCACACACATCTGGATTAAAACCGGCTTCATGGGGACCTTTCACACACAACGTTATAGTTCCTTATGGGGACCAGTTTCATCAAATTCAAAACACAGGTTTGAGCTCAAACACTGACTGAAAGTGTGTTGTGGGGACGTCGTGAGTGTCCATTTTAATGCAACAATTAACGCAGAAAAAAATCCTCTTGAAGGATAAAACTGGCCCTAAATACTCCACTGCCACTAATCTACTGGACACATGTCCTAAAACGGTTTAATGTACTAATTTACAGCAGATACGCATCAAAATATGCTTACAAATCACTACACCATGACAAAAACCTAAATCTTTAGTGATGAATGTGAACGTACCTGTTGAGGAGAGTTGATTTGAGCAGATTCATCATCCATCTGAGTCTCTGACTGGAGAGAAGGATCAGAGTTACTCGCTGTGCTGGTATTAACAGGAGCGCTGGTCATCTGTAAGAGACAACATTCAAAATGACAAGATGTTAGATCATGGAAACACAAGAGAGAAATCTGAAGCAGATACCACATGGTTTGAGAATGTGAAACATTCATTTTACATAGTTAATTATTGGTTTTTTTTTGTGATTATATTTCACCCATTAGTTGCAACATGGTCATTGTATGCCACATTGGATATGGATATAATTTATTGGAATAGACATCAATTAGATTCATAGATTTCTAATAGATCAAATTATAATCCATTCAACCAACTTGTTTGCCACATGTTGCCAAAATATGAGCTATTTTGTCCACAGTGTGCTTTGCAACATACTTGTGTTCTCCATGGGTAGTTTTCTCCTCCATAATCATAGGCAATTTCTTCTCCTTCTTTAATGTCATCCAGGGCAAACAGACAAAGGTGAGGCTTTCCATTGACGTCAATTTTCTTCATCTTACAATTTGGATGTTTGTGACAATCATTAACGATCCGCCCATACGATCCATCTTCTCTTGACGCATCAATACTTAAATATGAAACCATGAGAAAAGGATGATTACAAGTACTACAATATACCACCACAAATCAGTTTATTTTTACTATCTTTTTGCATAAGGAATATAGCTTTGGTACAACTTGACTTCTTACCACCATGTTTTCCCTCGCCACTTGAAATCAAACATAAATGCAGCACAGGATGCGTGGTAACGTTTTCTTCTTCTCTGCAGTTCTGCATCATTTATCATATCTCCCCTGTACTCAACAACAAAATCACCTTTGCAAAAGTCACCCTTTGCAAATAGACCACGTCCTGCAAAATACAGATTTTTTCTGATTAACAGATTTTTACAGATTTCAGGTCTGATTAATGTGCTCATAAGATTATGGTTAGGACATGCATATCTTGGTAAATATTGAATGATAAAATCACACCACCTTACCTTTCACTGCATTGATATACTTCACATCTAATTTGAATGTTTTGTCAGTCTTTGAAACAACATGATGCATGGCATCCTTAAGGGGGCTGATTCGTGGTGGCATTTCAAACTGAGAGGAAAAAAATAGTGTGAAAAAAATTACACTGAAAATGGGGACACATGCAGAATTCAACTAGCATGTTCAATAAGTAGCCTAGATAAGAATGTTATTGTAATGTTACTGCATTACAATGATATTGTATGTATCAATGTAAGACAAGAAATCTGAACTCTACAATATAATATCATCAGATTTATTGACTGGCACAATGCTAGCCTTGCGGGCATAAACTCACCATTTTCACTCAGGCTCTAATCTCTCACAAAACCAACATCTGTAAAATCCCAGGTAGCCTTGGCAATTATTTAACTATTCATTTGGTCCTTAACCTAACTAAGTTACTCTTTTGAACGAGCTCACCATACAAACCCCAGTTTATTTTAACTACAGTCATAATTAAAACTAAGTTTATTCATTTATTCTTTTAAAGCTACTTTCCATGTCAGTTTTTGTTTTATTTTAGCCTAACGTTACTTCATTTCTCTGTGAAGCACTTTAGTCAAGATCTGTGGCTTGTATATGTTGCCTATGAGTTCATTTAAATGTAAAAACAATTTCTGATCAGTCAAACATAAGTGCTAACGTATATAATTATATATATATATATATATATATATATATGCCTATAAAACATATCTTTAATTTAAAGTATAAAATAAGCCACCGTCCAACGCAAACTAGACAGAGAAACAAACTTAATAACCGAATCCCTCCATTAGCAATCAGTCAGACTAGACGACACTTTTCAGTTAAAATTAAGTCCTTAACATTAAATTGTATGATTATGTGATCGCTTATTGGAAAAACAGAGAAAATGTCAGGCCACACTTACCGTTAGCCTCAACAATTAGCACTAACATTAACTAGCTAGCCCGCTGCCTAATCTAATTAACCTAACAGTTAACTTAATTGGTTTAATATATGTGCTTACCTTGAGCTTCACTTTTATCCTCTGTAGAAGTTCAGATCCTTAGTTGGCATCTACAGTAAATAATCTTCTTTGTCCTCCATGTGAAGTAACGTTATCAATTTAATACTTGTATTTTCAAGTTGCTGTCGAACTCCTTCCTAACGAGGACCCGGAAGTGGGCGGTACCCAACCATAATTGGAAAATGTGTGTGTGGAAAAGTGAGTGCATTACCAGCCAAAAATGTTTGGGGGCGCAGCAGAGCTCCCGCTACACACACGCATACTACCTGATAATCATGTGTTATGGGCCAATGCTAAAACTCCGCCCAGAACCTTCAGAACAGTTCCACTATCCAATTAAATGGGTTACCCTTATGGGGACCTGATTTTTGGTCCCCACAACGCAAGAGGTCCCCATTAGGTGACTGTGTAAACAGATTCTTGTCCCCACAAAGTGATGATTACCAGAACACACACACACACACACACACACACACACACACACACACACACACACACACAATCAGTATGCATTAACACAAGCATTTCAGAACTGGGCTGAGCGTGACGTAAAATGTGAGAATTCATTAGGAACAAATAGTAGAACATCTTAGAAGAATCATCTTAGGAACATTATTACAGTCTTCTGCGAAGTGAGGTAGTGCGATTAATCTCACACCTCTTCCAACACCGCGGCTTCCTCCACACAGGTCATTACGAGGGGTCCCTCACCACACACAGGCAAACAAATGAGCCATTACCGCCATCACTCAGGCTCCAATTAAACAACCCATGCAGCCCCTGCTCCTCACAATCACTGCCAATTAAAGCCCAACTGTGTGAATTCCAACATCACTAATTACATGAACGTGATAGAACTTTCTCACATTCCTCTCTAAAATTAATTTCAAATATTGTTCAAAATTAATGATTAAATGTACCCTGCCCAAGGTAAACCACTCTGAGCTTTATGTGAATTAAATCACATTTTTTTAAAGGTTTAACGCCAAAACTCACTAAGAATGCTTCAAGGTAAAGTGCAATTATTTAATCAAGGTAAACATGTCTAGACTAGGTGTAATTTGCAGTAGAAGCAAATGATTAGATCCTACCTTAAATCTGAACACTGGACCCCATGAAGTGGCCCTTAAAAACACAGCTGCTCTCAGTACATTTAAAGCTGAGCCCCAAAAATGTTTTTTTAACACAAGTTTCTCATGCACAGTCTCTCTTTCGATATCTTACCGGTAACTGTACCACTCTATCTGTTCTCCTTCGTTAACTCCAAAAAGACAGGTGAATGGACAATCCACAGTTACCAGAAGTAGTAGCTCTCATCACCACCTCCATTCACATAAGCAAGACTGATAGGAGTAAAAGTGGCCTGGTCAGAGATCACTGAATTATTCATATGACTGGCAGGTGTTGTTGATAGTGCAGCTCTTCTGCATTTTCAAGTCCCAGGTGTGGTTTTAACAGCTCTATGTTCTCGGCCCTGCCTATAGCTGCCATTGATTGCAGGCTAAAAACACGCTGCTGAATAAGCAAAGGAGCTTTACATAGTGGCACATGGTGCATCGCACCAATAACACAACAGATCCATCACGGCCCATGACACCCACGGGTGCGGGGGGAGGGAGGGGCATCCAACACTTCTGGGTTTAGAGTTAAAGACAGAGCAAAGAATAAATGACATTCAAACAGGACTGTTCAGCATGATTGAAGCTAATCTAATATCCCACCGTGCTTCTGATGACCGCTGACTCGGGAGACACGGATTTGAGTACAATACAAACTGCAATAAAAAAAGCATCGGGACTCTGTGGAGTCATGCATATTAATGTGGCTCTGAACTAAATAACTAAATGTTTTCCAAAACTTCAAGAGCATGACATTTCTTTAAAGCTCACACTTAAATAACTTGATTCCACTAATCTTTCTGTGATTCAACAGATGTTTTCACTCAAAAAATAAAATTGTTTTATCTTATACTCACTCTCATGTTGTTCCTACCCTGTATAACTGTCTTTCTTCTGTAGAGCACAAAAATAACGTTTTTTTTTGTCCATTAAGTAAATGGGGTTTAATATAGTTTTGGTCCCCAATAACTTTCATTTTATTGACAGAAGCAAATGAAATATTCTTGAAAATGTAAGTTATACAGGTTTGGAATGACACCTAGGTAGGCTAAGTAAATAATGACAGAATTTTCATTTTTGGGTGGACTATCGTTTAAGGTGCATATGCCCCTGTCATATGTTGAGGAAATTGGTAGGTGGACTGATATGTCAACAACACACGCACATACATACACATATTGCAATTCAGAAAAGAAAAACAAAGCTGTGAAAATGCCCATGGCAATACATACCATTAAAGGTCACAATAGGTCACTTCTCAGAATCAACTGCCTCTGGCATATCAAAATATAAAAGCATAAATGTCCAATGCTTTTTTTTTTCATTGAGACTTTTTCCATGTGAAAGGAATGAAAAGAGCTTTCTTGGCTGAGGTTAGATTTTCACTAAAGATGATATAATTGGCCGCAGCCGCCGCACATGCACATTCGTTGTGTATATGGATCTGTGCACTCATTATAATGTATGTGAAATATTAAAAGCTAGTACCAGTTCTTTGTAACAAGCTCTTGTTTCATTAAAAGTTCAAAAAAGAGAGTTGCACCATCAGTTCTGGAGATAATGGAGAACTGTTTTCCTTTTTGCTCAGACCTTTGGATGTCATCAAACACACTGTGCTGTTCTCTGTTACAAGTTCAATTGAGATGTCCCTGAGCACAGTTGTCTGGTCTAGGACAGGACAGAAGGAAACACCAAAAGCAATTTCCACCCAGGTGATCCCGCCCCAGGGCCCCAGCGGGGTTTAGACGAGGAAATTAAACTCAACGCTAGTCTCGCTGCTTGAGAACTCCAGTCAAATGAACAGCCAATGTGCAGCATTTTACCACTTCACAGAGAAAATATTAACAGAATAAAGAAAGAGGTTTCCTGCAGGGTGTGGAGTGAAGCAGCTCACGCAGAATGGCTAATGTCCTCTCTCCTGAGTGATGGAGACGTCTGCAGGTTCAACTCTAACGACTCCCGGAGCCTGTGCTGAGAATAGTAATTTACCAATCACGTAGTCCATACTTGAGAAGAGAACATGCTGGGTAAAAAAAAAATGTTTATGATAAGTTCAGACATATTCACAAGGCTTAGGCTACCCATTAGTGTGGTTCAAGAACGGCTGCACACAAACCTCTCAAAAGTAACTGAGAGCTACCATCAATAGAGGACTAAAAGGGAAACAGCAAACCGACTAGAACGCACAGAACACGAAGTACAGAGAGGAACAGACCTAGCATCACCCTCGGTAAATCCATTAAGATGTCTCACTATATACAAGACGGATCCATGCTACACTGAGCTTGTTTAGGTCTCTCCATTGTGAGTGCTGGGACAGGAATAGCTTGAAGCAAAAAAGCATAAAGTTAATGGGGGACACACTCTCTGGGATTGCAATGGTAAATTATGACTCTCATAATATACAATTCAGGGGCACTCTTGGTTTACAGTAAAGGCTGGATGAAGTCCTTGGGCTATAGTGCTCATAATGGGTGCCGTAACTGAAAGCCTGTAATGTTAATGAATAACCAACTCAATCCAAATCCAAAATGATGCTATAACTCCAAAGATCCAGTGGAGCCAACAAGCAGATGGCCTGGTTTCTGTGAGCTACTCAATTTTGCATTAATGTAACCTTTCAATATAAGGGAAGATTTATAAGCTGCATTAAAAACGATGACCCTTACCCACTTCAATTACAAAACAGAGCCGCTTTAGTTTCCACACTTGCGATGATCCCTCATAAGAAGCGTCCTGGGGTGTGACGACATCTTAAGTCTTCCGAGAGCAGGTCAGGGAGGTTGTGCGGCTCTGAGAGCTGGTCCTTATGGTAATACCCCTCTGATTGAGATAAGTGGCAGATGTAAGCAGGACCATCAGCAGTATTTGTAAAAAGTCAGTGGATTCTCGAGGGAGAGCTGCTTGTCATTACAACCACCGGGAAAAGACCTGATGAGTGCATTATTCAGGACCCGGCAGAACCACAGCTAAGAGGTGTGGAGTGAGTTGGCATCAGAGAGACGAGCTCTATTGAGCCTCACTATAAGCTCACATCAGTGCTTGTTAATTAGCTTTGCTTAAAGATGCTCACAGCCGATCTTTATTTGATTCTATTCTTGTTCCCTCTGAACTCACGATTGTGTGACTTATCATTCATCATCTGTACAGAAACAAACTGCAGTAAGATATGAAAGATTGTTTCACTCTGAACAAACTAGCAGTTGAAAACCTTAATGTTCATCAAATTAAGTATTATCATTTCCTCTAATTGGCTGGACATGGAAGTACTAGGACCCTTCAGGCTGCTTGTTGAAAACAAATACGTAAACTACCGTTCAAAAGATTGTGGTCGATAATACTTACTTTTTTTTTTTTTAAATCTCACCAAGGCTGCAGTTATATGATCAAAAACACATTAAAAAAGTAATATTGTGAATTATCATTTAAAATGTGATCTACTCCTGTGATGGCAAAGCTGAATTTTCAGCATCATTACTCCAGTCGTCAGTTCGCATGATCCCTCAGAGATTATTCTAATATGCTGATTTGGTGCTTAAGAAACATTTCTTATTGTCTTTAGGCCTAATCTTTTTCATGTCTTGCCTGGTTACATTTATTTCGTAAAGTATTTAATTTAGGAGCTACTTTGCCCTTCTATCCCCCAATTCTATTTAACATATAGTCTCACGGCTATGGAAGCTTGTTTCTGCCATGGAATAAAACAATTTAAAATATCATTTTTTTCGACTTTTTTCACACAATTAAGGATATAATTGTGGGATATAAACTCACAATTGCTTGAATAAAAGTCTGAATTCTGAGATAAAAAGTTGCAATTATCTTTAATATTGTTTATAGTTTATATCTCGCAATTCTGACTTTTTTTCTCACAATTGCGAGCTTGTATCTCTATACTCAGAGATATTCACATTTTG